CACAGATTGCAGGATCCTTATCAAATTTATCTATTTAATTCTGCATATCAATAAAGGAGACAATGCATTAACATTTACAAGACTCCTGCCACATAATGATGCTTATTTGTTTTTTTTTTTAATGACATTGGTTTAGGAGAGAGAATAAAGAAGCTTCTCAGTCAAAGGGTTGTAAGTTAATGGCATTTAATGATCAGGAAAACCCTGTTTTTCCAGTTTCTAAAATAAAACAGATTCAGAGACATTAAAGAAAATACAGATTTATACACACTAAATATTATTTATCTTCTCATTTCTTTTTTCATACACTGTCTCTCATTTATATTTTAATTTCTGTTAAATTCCATACCTTAACTTTTTGGCACCAATGTAGCCAATCTCTGTGTTAACAAATGAATAATGCCATTGAAAGGAAAATACTAATGCAACAAATGGAATTCTACCTCACAGGACTAGCAAAGAACTAATTAAGATATTAGGAATTAAAAAACTGAAACTTACTGAAAATTATCATAAGTTAAAACTAAGAGTACTATATTAAGAATGAAGACTATTTCCTTTAAAGTATTTGTTACATCTCTAAAAGGGCATAATAACTCTCATGAACATAGATGTAAAAATCCTCAACAAAATCTTAGCATATCCAATCTAACAATGTATAAAATTAATGTTACACCACAACCAAGTGGGATCTATCTCAGGTATGCAAGGCTGGTTCAACACTCACAAATCTACTAATGTAATCCATCACATCAACAGACTAGAAAAAAAAAAAGTATCATATCAATAGATGCAGGAAAAGCATTTGACAAAATCCAACTCATTTATGATAAAAACTGTCAGTAAAGTAAGAATACAGGAGAACTTTCTCACCTTGATAAAGAATATCTACAAAACCTACTGCTAACATCATATTTCACAATGAGAAACTATAAGCTTTCCCCCTAAGTTCAGGAGCAAAGCAAAAATTTCCCCTCACCACTACTTTTCAGCATCATACTGGAATAAGACAAGAAAAGAAAAGTATAAAGATTGGGAATGAAGAAATAAAACTGTCTTTGTTTGTAGATGATATGATCGTCTATGTAGAAAATCTGAAAAAAAATCAGCAAAATAACTCTGGAACTAATGAGCAATTATAGCAAGGTGGCAGGATACAGGTTAATATACAAAAGTCAACTGCTTTCCTATATACCAACAAAGAACAAGTGCAATTTGAAGTTAAAAACACAATAATATTTACATTAGCACTCCCTACCCCCAAATGAAATACTTAGTTATAACTTTAATAAAATACGTACGAGATGTATATGAGAAAAACTACAAAACTCTGATGAAAAAAATTTTTAAAAAACCAACTAAATAAATGGAGAGATATTCCTTGTCATGCATAGGAAGACTAGGATGACGTAAAATTGTCAAGATGTCATTTCTTCCCAACTTGGTCTGTAGTGTCAATGCAATACAAATCAAAATACCAAGAAGTTATTTCATGGATATTGGCAAATTGATTCTAAAGTTTATATGGAGAGGCAAAAGACCCAGAATAGCTAACACAATATTGAAGAAGAACAGAGTTAGAGGATTTAACAGTACCTAACTTCAAGACTTACTGTAAGTTATAATAATCAAGACCGAGTGGTACTGGCCAAAGAACAGACAGATATAGATCAATGGAACTGAATGGAGAGCCCAGCAATAGACCAACATAAATACAGTCAACTGATCTTTGACAAAGGTACAAAGGCAATAAAATAGAGCAAAGATAGTCTTTTTAACAAATGGTCCCAAGACAGCTGGACACCTACATGAAAAAATGAATCTAGACACTGACCTTACACCCTTCTCAAAAATTAACTCAAAATGAATTGCAGACCTAAACGTAAATGGCCAAACTCTACAACTCCTAGAAGATAACATAGGAGAAAACCTAAATGAGCTTGGGTATGGCAGTGACTTTTTAGAAATAACACCAAAAGCACAATCCACGAAAGAAAGCATTGATAATCTGGACTTCATTAAATTTTAAATTTCTGCTCTGCAAAAGGCAATGTCAAAAGTATGAGAAAACAAGTAACAAACTGGGAGAAAATAGACACATGTGATAAAAGACTATTATCCAAAACGTACAAAGAACTCTTAAAACTCAACAATAAGGAAACAAATAACCTCATTAAAAAATAGGCCAAAGACCTCAACAGTCATCTCACCAAAGAAGATGGCAAATAAATGTATGAGAAGATGTTCCACACCATGTGTCATCAGGGAAATGCAAATTAAAACAACACTGAGATAACACTATCCACTATTAGAATGGCCAAAATCCAGAACACTGACAGCCCCAAATGCTAGCAAGGATGTGGAGCAACAGGAACTCTTATTCATTGCTGGTGGGGATAATACAGACTTTCTGCAAAATAAGTTTAATTATATACAACCTATTCATTTAGCTAGTTTATTCT